TTGTGTCATGTTAGCTACAGTACAATTTGGATCATAGAGTCTGACAAAGTCACCTCGGTGGCGTCCTTGAGCCATCCCTGCCATTCAACGGCGACTGTCAGCACTGAAACGCTACATTTGGATCACACGGAGACTGTCCGAGTTCACCTCTACCATATAAGATTCATCCCTGCCGTTCAACACTGGATGTCTGTTCTACAATACTGCAGTTGGATCACACGGGTCTGGCCGAGTTCATCTGCGCGGCGTGTTGGATCTATCCTGCCGTTCACCCGTGACCCTCAGTACCGCAATTGCGGTTGGATCAGACGAACCTGGCCCAGTTCACTTGCGTGGAGCGTTAGGTCCACCCTGCCGTTGAACATTAGCTATACGTGCTGCAACTGCAATCTGATCCCATGAGTGTGGCTGTGTTCGCCTGCACCGTAGTGAGTGCGTCCCTGCAGTTCAACGGCAAACTATCAACACTGCTATGCTGTTTGCCTTTGTTAGCGGCGTTCAACGCGGCCCTTTTCTCTTTTCAACCATTTATGCGTGTTATTAAACCGTATTCTGCGCTCAGAGTGAAATATAGCAATTATTGTGCCATTTGTTGAAGTTCAACAGTGGGCTAAGCCAGACACATGTTAAGTAATCTAGTTCGTTTCTGATTTACAGAATTGGGTCCTTTCCGTCAGGCAAATCGACTGTGCGCTTGAAACGTCACAGGCCCAGCATGTTGAACACAAACGTCTTTAACGCTAGTTTAATAGATATCTATAGAGACATGAACAGCTGTCCTTTCTTTTTTAGTAGAGGTCGCTGCCCTACAAAGGAAATGAAATGACCCTCATTATCGACAAGCTAGTGAACATAATCAATGGTGAACAGAAAATCTTGAGCAGCCAATCAGGGTCGGGCTTAGTTAACTTGGCTAGGCACGTAATTGGTCCTAACTCCACAATCTTCATATAGATCCGACCCGTGTTGAACAGAAGAGCAGTATACAACACGGCCATAACCAGGTGAACTTGGATAGGTTTTGTGATGCAAACTGCATCTAGAACAGAGGGGATGTAGTCAAACATGAACAAATTTTGCAATCAATGTTGAACAGAAGAGCGTATATAATACCGGAGTTCTTAGATGAAATTGGCTACAATCGTGTTTAACAAATGCGGCTGCGTTGGCTGACCAATTTGTGAGATTCTTTCGTCACCTATGTTTAAATTTGCATCTGGGAGTTATTGAAAGTGGCCAATTTCGTCTCACTAGAGATAGCAGCAGCCGCCTTGCGTGAGCCTTTTCAATAGGGCACTAGAAATGAAAAATTTCAACTTTGTTGTCCCAAGCGTTGTGAGTCATCCCATGCGTTGTTCAACAGACAATGAGAGGAGGCAGGAGAATACCTAGATTGATATTGATAATTGTCAGATTATTCCAAGCTGGGGTATTCTACTTTCTTTCTGCCGCCCTATGAACTGGGACCCTACGGATTTTGCTCTTTCTCTGTGACATCTCTGATCTACAGCGTCATTAGCCCGGACAGTATTTCACACAATACATCAAGCCAGATTTTTCCGTTTTCTTTTTTTTTTTTCTGGCTCAGTACTGTACTGCTATATTCGAAAACAGATTCCCCCGTATACACTCGCAGATTGTCTCCCGAACCCTATATTGAAACACGCTAGTCTAAATACAGTTAGTTCCCCAAAAAACCCTGTCAAATTGTATCGTCTTGCATGAACGGTAATAAATGAGTCATCGTTATAATACAGTAAACCTCTTAAGGAACCTCGTGGAATCTTCTCTGCAAACGGTCCAAAAGAGAGTAGAAAGCCTAGCGATCTGGTGAGATCGCTGCCTACCTCCCCTCCTTCACCACGCACGCAGCCTTCGTCCACACTCGTTTTATAAACACCACACTCGTTATTTTACTCACTAGAAGGCCGTGGCGGTGTTTAGAACAGTTAAACTAACTTTGGTAGGAGATCGGGCGTCTTCATTTCCATGGATTATCTTACCGTTTGCCATTTTCATTCGTTACTAGTGTGTGTCAAAAGCTAGTATCCCCACATAAGCTAACATGAGCCTCTCAAGGGTTGAGACTGGATCTAGGGATGACTCAAAGCCCGCATCATGTCGATTACATCTCTCAGCCCGATGAGCTCGACCCATAGGAGCAGAACTCCCAGTACGCTCCGACCCCGGGATTCTTTAGCAGCCCCTACGACACGCGATCCATTTACAGTCCCTCCCCTTCCTATGTGGCTGAGAATGGCAATGAGACCGCAAGCCAATCCCAAGTAAATACTCTCAAGCTACTTCAGTTGTCTGAGTGGGAAGAAGATAGAGTTTACGACGAATGCCCTCCGGCGTGTATCCACTACCTCATCGAGTGGCGAGTTAAAAATAACCGGGTTGTATCAAAGGACACGGAGGAAGACCTCGTTCTAGCCCCAAGCGCACATTGGCGGCTATTTCTGGAGAACAAAGTGCAGGAAGTCCTTCGATGTAAGGTCTCTCGCAACCGAAGGGTGAGGGCTGATGACACAGCGATAGTCGTGTCTGTGAACGATCGTTCGCAGCGTGACCTGACCAAACGGTTCGAAAAGACTGATATTAATTGGACTGTCATCGATAAACAGCTCCAGAAGTGGTCGAATCTGTTCTGCCAAGGCAAGGAACTGAGGTTGAGTATTTGTTTCAACTATAAGGACGACCAAGACTCTCCGACCGCTGGACGGAAAGGGGATAAACGAGGTAAATCCTCTGTAACGAGAAGGATGCTCGATGAGCGAGACGCACAGCTAGATGCTGAACAGGAGACTTCTGGCCAGAGGATAGTCTGGCGTAGCGTCTATAATTTGATGCGATGCGATTTGTCTTCGTGCCACCTAGGCCCCTACTGTTGGCTGGACCCAATGGGAAAAAGGCACTATCCACTCAAAACACACCATATGAGGCGCCTAGTGACTTTCGTGGAAAAGGGTGGCGTTTTAGAATCGCACAAAGACGTGCCCGAAGCGGTCTGCGAAGAATTATACATGGAAGAGCAACAGAGACTTGAGAAAGACAAGCGTAAGGGAGGTCATACCCTTGCGCAGGGTGTAACGTACCCTCCTATCAACATCAATGTCCTGCCCTCCTAGTCTTCCGCCACTGGAATGGAGATTCCCGCCGCCAAAAAGGCAGATGACCCGACAGTTCTGGGCCAACTGGAAATTCCTGGACCCAGGGACGTAGCTGTCAAAGAGTACGTTGAATGGCAACAGTCAAATGTCACTGATGACAATCTCAAAGCTGCATTCCGACAAGCGTGTGATGTGACGCTCGAAGATGGTCTTGATCTCGAACAGGTCCACAAAGATCAAGATCCAGATTCTTCATCGGTAAGGGAATAAAAAAGGGCATTGCCCGTCGTTTCGTACAGGATATTCCTGGCTGGGTCCAGAATGTGAAGAAGGCAATCCCTATCTGTGAAGGACTATAATATAGAAAGAGCAAGGTGGGTGTTAGGTGTTACGGCGTTAAGAAGTTTTGTCGGATTAGGTTGGAATCAGTGGGTACCTCAGATAATACACCTGTAAATTGCGGTAATCAAACTTCCATCCTATGCTGAGCTTTTTAGAGTTTATTTGATTGGCCTCTCTTTTTTCTTGATGCCCCTTGGGAAACATAAACAAATCAGCAATTTCTTGTGCCACTTGTCGGGCAATTGTGGTCCAAGGTCAACTGTCAACCACCACCACTACCGCCAGTACTACCGCCACCTCCTCCACTAGGTTCAGAGCAAACGTTCAGGATCTCAATCAAGAACTAGTTATGTTAGCTTTTCTCTTTCCTGACACAGCTTTCGCGGCCTACATTTTCAGTATCGCAGCATAGGGTTTGGCCCTTGCACGAGCTGCCCACTATGGAGCCAGTCAGCGTCGCCAAAAGATAGAGCTTGATACAGAAGCGTAACGAGATTGCATACAGGGTACACATCCGACTCCAATATCAACGGTGCTCCTTAATATGTTGATAGGAAACAGAAGCTGGCAACACTTCGGCGTCTGCTTTCCATTGGAACACGTAATGGAGTTCTGCCTCTCTGCCAGCGGGGATGCGAAAGCGCTGGCCACATTTGCAAGAAGGATCGTACTAAGCCTCATCCTGATTTAGTAGATATTATATGTCATCGAGATGTTGTTTTTAAGATACAGCTACAATGGCATTTCCCCCATTAAATATTCCAAGGTAGCTTAGATGGCCAGATCTAGATTCCCGAGACCGTAGATCAGTATCAGACAAAACATGGATTTTAGTCGTCGTGCAGACGAACCATATGGTCAGGCGTGTCGATTTGACTGGTGCTAATGACCTCATGTAATTCCTCCGCTTTAGGATAAACATGGTGGAGCCCGTTCTAGAACTGCACCAATCGGCGAGGCGGTCTTCCACTCCCACATAAACCATTGGCTGAAAGGTTTCATGCGCTAACCATTGTTGGATTAGCATATGATTATTCATCAGTATCCTTGGACTCAAGAGTCGACCGCAGGTTCACGACTCTCATGAACCAAAGCTTTTGGCGAGAGTTCTACCGGCCGGAGAAAGAGGTCCAGACCAATCCATTCATATTGTTTCATGATATAAAAGATGCATTATGTCTGGTGATCAACTTTGCTTCATTACAACGCCAATGTCAATGCCTTCTTCCGTGGGCAAACTCGGTTGATGAGGGCCTTGAAATACTCATCCGTTTCTGTGCTTAAGGTCTTGTTGGAATGTCCAAAATTAGACATCAACGTCCAGAATCAAGCACAGGAAAGTGCTTTGTGGTACGCCGTCAAATACGGGACTTGCCCGACTGTGGTGAGTGTGTTGAAGCGCCCCACCTCCAGAGTGGACCTCAGGCATAGACGAGGCCAGACAGCGCTCCACCTGGCGGTTTGGGGGGGCAGAATATGGATCGTGCAATTGTTGCTATCCCACGGCAGTGAGCCCTGTGCTAAGGATGACTTTGGCCACTCGCCATGGGCTTGGGCATGTCGTGCCAACAGATACTCCATGAAAAGAATCTTTTGCACAACCATGATTATGAATCCTCTTTTGAACCCCACAGTATTGATCGTGATGAGCTGCCACTTCACCAAGCAGTATCCCACGGGTCAGCAGACGCGGTCAAGCGGCTTTTGAGACAAAAAAGTCTCGATTTGGAGGCCCATGATCGGAACGGCTATACGCCGCTGCATCTCGCCGTTTGGAACCAACGTTTGGAGGTGGTTGATTTGCTTCTGAAGCATCCTCATGCCAGCGTGAATTGGAAAGACCAAGATGGCAACACAACGCTTTGGTTGTCAACTTATATGTCATGCGATGGGATAACCGAGAGGCTCCTGAATGAGAGGAGCATTGACATCAATTCCATCGGGGGGTGCGGCAGATTCCAGACACCCTCCACATCTCTACACCATGTCGTGAAAAGATTAGACACCGTGGTTCTACGGCGGCTTCTTGCAGTGCCAGGGATTGAACTGAACATCTGTGCAGCGGGCCAGTCCCCATTCTCCGTCGCTGTTAAGACGATGATGATGCTTCTGAACGTAGCGGGCGTGTAATTGAATATTAGCTCGTCAGACGCTGGAAGCTTTTTAGCATGAGGGTGTTATACAGATCATGGTATGATGGGTTGATTCGAGGTGGTGAAGACAATGTGGATGAGCCGGCAGAAGCTCATCTTGACAGGTAGAAAAAGGGCTTTATATAACACTCTGAGCTGGATCTCTGGTAGTCGCTCGACAATGGCATTGTAACCCGCGTATGGAGAGGTGTAGCATTTGTGTTCATCATCCGTCACGCAGACAACGGCAAGAGGTTCCAGGAAGCCTTCTCCATGCCCCTGAAGGCACCTGTCTAGCGAGGATATTGGTATCATACGTCTGCGGAGCTTCAGATTTATAGAGTAGCGTACCTCTTACTATAGCACCTACAATCGCCTTATAACGATCTTCCTTCGAAAGCTAGAATACTACTAAGGCGTCCTATTCCTCAAAACGAATTGAAATTTAGTTTGATAAAGCAATTATAAGCCGCATTCATCTAACTATTAAATATAAGGATCTAATAAGGGAGTTTCGTAGAGCGATCTAGAAAAAGTAGTTGGCTAAAGCACGTATACTGTAGTCTAAGGACTAGCTATTATTAGGCACGAGGAGTTATAATAGCTAGATAGTTTTTCTTTGAATAGGCGCGAGGTTAGTTCGTGGTAGAACAATGTATTTTTTAACTACTAACCGTCATACTCTAGATTAAGAACCTTACTTCTATCACACACGTACTTTTCACGGTAGGTAGAGAGCTAATAAGCTCTAGACATCTAGAAGGGGCTGCGGAATCAAGCGAAAAACTCTCAGAGAAGTTCAATTAAGAGAGTCTCGTTAAGGGAATGTATGTCTAAGGCTGACGAGTTAGTCTTTGGGGTCTCCTATCGTAGTATAGGTCAGTACAAAATAGTGTCAGAGGTTTCTAGGCTACATAGTGAAATTGAGATCTGCAAGGTTTTCGTTGCTAGCGTGACCGAAAGGGTTGGTGGGATGTAAGGACCATGACCGGGAGGCAGGGAGGCAGATTTAACCCTACCCCGCCCAAAATGAATGTCGATAAGTTATTGACTTAATTTTTTGGAATTTCCTGGCTTATCAAAAAAAAAAGGTCCCCTTTCCTTTTAGCAGCCCCGTTGACCTCGTGTGCCCCAATTTCTTGCACCCGGCTGTTTCCAGTGGTCCTCCGATCTCCTTATCAGGCTTCAATGTAACCTCTCCGATCGACAAAGAGGAGGCGACCAAGTAAAAGCGGTCACTAAGAAAAGACAAGAGAGCGCTGAAGGAATGAGGGTGCGCAAAGACAACAGGTTTCCCAGGAAATTTTTATTAAAAAGAATTTTTTTTGGAGGGCGTCCCTTTTGGACAGGGCTAGCTTAGTCTGCTACCCCTTCTGAGACTTGATTGACCAGGCGCTTGATTATTGTGTGCTTCTGTTCCTCTTGCTTTGCTCTGTTCACTGCCACCAGTTCCTTTTCTTGGCCCATCGATACCGTTGGCCGCCGCAATGTTTTTGCTTATTCTTCTGTTGCTCTTCGGCCTGTTTGTGTCTTTCCTCTGCCGCAGGTAGAGCGATTTGTAATCTGGGGAGCTGTTGTCGGCCATCGACTTGCCAAAAGGGGGAATGCAATAGTTTGAGTGAGCCTGTTCGGTCCCGACTTGGCATTCGATCAAACGGTCTTGTATCAACAGATCACGGCTGCAGGACTGCTCATCGTTTCTTCGGAATGATTACGTAGAACGCAGGAAGTACAATCTGCCGTATGTTTCAATCTGTTCATGTTCAACATATATATATTCGTATGCCGCCCTCCCCACGCACTGATAATTCCTTCAATCTGTATCACTATTGCAACAGTCAAGCCTTCCTCGCTTCTTTCAAGACGCGGCCGTTCCACGTCCACCACTTCGATCCCTTTCACTTACCATGTTTCCTTCCGTGTATCAACCTTAGTGGATTGTAACCCTTGTTCCACGGCTGTCTAACTTGGGAAGAGGCATCAGGAAATCCACAGACTGCGAGATATCCGACTCGTCCGTTTCGTATAACTCGAACCGGGGTGCGTTCGGCCTAAACATCACCGCCATGGCCCAGTACATTTCGGCGTAAGCAAGACTGTTATTTCTGTCAGCCTGATATTCACGTAATATCCAACATTATCTTATAATGAGATGCTGGAGGAAAGGAAGTGTCTCTTACTTCATGCCCAAGCAGTTCCGGGATCCTCTGGTGAAAGGAACCCAGTTCCTGTTCATCTTGGGGTCGTAATTGCCCAGCCAACGCTCTGGAATGAATTTGAACGGCTCCGGGTAGACTTCCGGATCGGTGTGCAGGCTGTATGCGGCCATCCCTACCGGGGTGCCGGCGGGAATCATCCACTGCTTGTAGACAATTGGGTCATCCGGCGAGATCCGGGGAAGACGGCGCATGACACCGTAGCTCAGACTAGCACATCATCTCAGCAGGAACTTCTCGGTCACCTGTACAGTCTAGCTAGACTTACCGGAGGCCCTCCTTGATCATTGCCTGGAGGTACGGCAACCGTTCCAGCTCCTGCCAAGTGGGCAAGTTGTGCGGGTAAACCGCCATTATGTCCTTGAGCTCCTCGCCCAGACGCTCCCGCATATGCGGATTGGTGAGAATGTAGTAGCACATGAAGCCCATCGTGCGAGCGGTGGTGGCGGTGCCGGCCCCGAAGAGCACCATGGCCTCGCGACTGAGGCGCTCCGTGCTGCACTCAGACTCGGGAATCTCGCTTGTGATGATGTAGCGGAAGACGGAGCTCTTTGAGTTCTTCTCGACTTTCTCTTTGCTGAAGTTGTCCTGCTTGGCGTCGATGATGTGCTTGGTAGCCAGCTGGCGAAACAGGTTGAATCCGGCAGCACCTGGGTACACACGCAGGAGGAACCCAGTGGGGATCATTGATGCCAGGCTATGGCCGTTAGTGTATGCCCTTGGCTGTAGTAGAGGGTCACGCACGTAACCAGTTGCGGGATATGCATGAACAAGAGGAGCTGTCTCACAATGTTCTCGATCAAGTTGTGCCTGTTTCCCCGGGTCGTCAATGCTGGGCACGTTTACTCTGGCCGCCGAGTCCACTTACCACTCTTTGCCGAACTCAGGGTGGTTCATCATGTCGGGCGGGCTTTCACAGCAGATCCGTCCGATCACATCCCCGGCGAAGGCGGAGAACACATGGTCGAGTCGGACGACGTTGCCGGATCCCTTCAGCTCGACCAAACGGTCATTGAGGAGCTTGGCTTCCTCGATGATCATGGGCTCCATCTTGTCAATGCCCATGCGGGAGAAGAAGGGCTCAAAGGGCTTGCGGCGGCGGCGGTGCAGGTCGTGGTTCTCAGTCATGGTGTGGGAGCCTGGATCGAGTTAGAAGGACGGGTCTTTCAATGCCAAAGCCAAAGCCAGGGCAACGTACCGTCGAATCCAATGCCGGTTCGGTAGCGAGGCCAGATGGCCGTACGGCGTGTGTTGCCGGCAACGTAGACGCTGTTGTAGAATTCCGGGTCGTTGATGACTATCTCATGTGGGTTGATGCGGATGATTGGGCCTGATATGATGAGGCATCCCGAGTCAGTTTGGGTTCTCTCGTATATGTTCGCGTACGGAGATATAATCCCGGTAGCGTAGCAGAAAAAGGGGTACTTTACCATACTTCCGGTGCATCTCCTCGATTTTGTAGACGTACTTCCCCCTCTTGATCACATCGTAGTAGAATTCATACCACCGAGTGGCAGCAGCGATCTTGGGCCCCGGAAATCTGGCCAAAGGGTGAAAGTACAGACGGTAAATGGCCAGCGAAGCACCGTAGAGGACAAAACCCACCGCGATGGCACCGTAGATGCCATATTGTTTCAACAAAGCGTATTCGCCCGCGAACAAGACATCGTCGTTGTCCAAGACCTTCATGTTTGCCGTATGCTTTCCTCTATGAGCGAAGCCAATTGTGAGGAATCTCTAGGAGAGGAGAATACTTTGGTTGAAAGGAAAGATGACACACAACCTTTTTGATATCGGTCGTGCTGCCAATGGCCGGGTATCATTCCGATATCCTTCCCTGTCTTCCAAGACGGATTCACCGGGATACGTGGAGAGGGGTAAGACTGGAGCCCTTCAAGGTCACGAATATGCAGTCAGACTGAGATGAAAAGGAACGCATCGACAGGATTGGCTTGCGCATCTCGACCTGCGCAGGGCTTGGCTGGCCGGTGTCAGGGAGGGACGATCTTCGATACGTGAAGATCCTGCTCAAGAATGTTAGCTCTGCGCCTTGAGCTAAGGGGATGAAACGGTCCAATTGCCTGGTTTGGTACAAAATGTCTTCTATTCCAATCAAACTGGCGAGGTTGGACGGTTGGCGCGGATGCTCGATATCCTCACTAGGGTGTTTGCGTAGCATGCATGCATGGACTTATATTAAATTCTCGTATTTAGTGTTTAAAGTTGGAGGGCGCATTTGCCATATACGAGAATATCTGGACTAAATATGCTATCACGCCATCGCGGTTGATGCTACTATGTCGTCCTGAGATCGTATACTCCTCAACGAGGCGTTAGTATCCGCCTACCCTGTGGGGTCTGAGTGGGGACGGCGTTCAATTGCCCCGCTGGTGTCTACTAGATGCGTAACACATGGCACGCACTTCCTCGGCGCGCGAGGATCGGGGAGTCTCGCCCTCGTTAAACGACTTGACGGTTGCATCTGATGGCTTCCGCTAGGACTTGTAACCGGAGAATTTATCCGTCGACCGACAGAATGGCGCAGTTCTGGCCATATCCAACACTCACCAGCGGCCAGAGTCAGCCACGTCGCAGGATGGTTGTCTCTCAAAGAGATAAGACATTAGGCTGAACTCTGTACACTTGCACGAGAACGCTTGGACCCCGAGGCTAACCGTTTCAGGATTCTGCAGGGGAACGCCTCAATAAGCCCTAAGTCGTAGTTCCATGGTCAATGGGTTGTTCCCAGTCTAACTACATCCGCATCATGAAGTAGTCAATCATATATTCCCCACAAGGGATCGGGGAGTCCGTCGCGTGAAGTTCTAAGTTATTAGAACACCGACATCTGATGTGACCGTATCTGCAGGAACATCATAGGCCAAGTCTGTGTGTTAGCCGTAATATTCACCCACAAAAAGATGCAGTGAATAAAAGCTCCCACGGGACTGAACTATAATCTCACGCTCCAACCCAGATTAGATTACGGGAATCTCCGTTCCACAAAAGGAATTCGAACCTAAATGTTGTCCGCTTAGGCTGACCAGTAGGGATGTTCTTGTGATAATGGTGACTCCGTCGAACTTTGTTGAAGTCCGGTCAGGATAGTAGTGCAAGATAGTACTCCGCTCGAGTCTTGGCTCGAATTAAATTGACTTTACTCCTTCGTGTCATGAAACAGGCTCCATGAAACGCACTCGAACCAGTTCCCTTTCGTATGCGAGTGGTCTCACCGGCTCGACGAAAAGAACATTCGACGGCTTCCGAATGGCACCTTCCTTATTGAGACTTGTACATATTCCGAATATCGTTAGAATTCCAGATGGCAGGAATGCCGCAGCGAGCCCGAAGACCCACGTGGAAGAGAGAGTCGGACGCGGATGCCTTGCAAGCGGGTTTACCGAAGAGATAACTGAACGCCCTGGTGCAGGATGGGACAAGAGGGGATGCCCAAGACTCTAGTCTAGCCCCAAAATACGAGGATTTGCTTACAATCCATCGGGTGAGATACTTAAGGACGGGGTTCTACTGGATGCTTCATGGCCAGACATGTTATCGGATGTCACCCCCTCCCCTTTGACTGTGAGATACATCGTACTGCTGCAGCTTTGCCTGGTCTTGTTCTATTTCCTAATCTCCTTTGCCGTCTCTGAACATGGAATTCAAGTACTCTACGGTGGTTGATCCCACCACGTACAAAACCCACGGTCTCTGTGACGGGATCCCGCTGAGATGCCACGAGAGTCCCGAGCTGGAGGAGATTGAAACATTGAGATGTCAAGAGGACTGGCGAGATTGGGTTGGCCCGCTAGGGTTCTACAAGGGCGGTTTGGGGCCACGATGGAACTTCATGGCCATCACCGTCCCGGAGTGCTTGCCCGAGCGACTCGGTGTGTTGGGGTATGCCAACGAGCTCGCTTTTCTACATGATGGTCAGTACCTGCAATATCCTGTTAGATTTGGTTCTTTTTGCTGAAGATTTTTGCAGACGTCACCGATGTGGCAGATTACGTGAGTCCAGCCGTGGAAAGTATTTGGGCGGATTGAACTCACGAGAAGCGTACCACAGGGAGATCTGCATAATGACGATTTGAAGGCTGCCTTTGAAGAAGCAGCCAGTACCGGACGTATTGAAGGGTCTGCCTCCGGAAAACGCGCGATTCAAGCCCACATCGCAAATGAGATGATGAAAATCCATAAGCAGCATGCAATTACCACACTGCAAGCGTGGGCAAAATTCGCAGAGCTAGGGTCGGGTCGCCAGCACACTACCCACTTCAAGACGGAGAAGGAGTATATTGAGTACAGAATGATCGACATTGGCACGATGTAGGTACTTTCCCACTGAAGATTAGGAGAACCATGGCATTCCGGCTAACGTTTCGCAGGTTCTGGTATGGCATGGTTACCTTTGGGATGGGCATTAGCATTCCCGAAGAGGAACTTGACATGTGCCACGATCTGGCCAACACTGCATATTTGAATCTGGGTCTCACAAATGACCTCTACTCCTGGCAGAAGGAATACGAGACTGCAGTAGCCATGGGCAGAGACTACGTGGCCAATATCATTGGCGTTCTCATGGAGGAGCGTAAAATCTCCGAGGAAGAGGCCAAAGAGGTCTGCCGGGAAAAGATCAAAGTGACCATTGTCGATTTTCGCAAGATTGTCGAGGACACCAAGGCACGAGAAGACGTGTCCCTGGATACGAAGCGGTATCTGGAAGCTCTGCTGTACAGCCTGAGCGGAAACCTAGTTTGGAGTATCGACTGCCCCAGATACCATCGGTGGTCTTCGTACAACGAGCGTCAGCTTGATTGGATGAAGGATGGTATTCCCAAGATATACAAAAACCCTCCCAAGGCGAATGGGGTGAGCACAGCCACCGGAAACGGGGTGCACAATGGCGCGGAAAAGACTGTCGCCAATGGAAACCTGAATGGTAACGACACTGTCCATGCTCCAGTTACCAATGGAAGCATGAATGGTAATGGTGCCGCTCATGCCCCGGTCTCCAATGGTTCCACAGGCCTGAAAAATCCATTCAGCATGGAGGTCGACACAGACATCGTCAACGTTTTTGCCCGAAAGGAATACAAAGCTATCAACGGCCTGAAGCTGCATGAGGGAGAAAAATATCCCTCGATTGGCGAATTCGAATTGAATGACGACGTTGCCCCTTGGAAAGATCCAGAGATTGAAACAAAGGCTAGTGCCGACATCCAGTTGAAAAGGAAGCCCGCTAACAAAAACCGTATAGGTGATCCAAGCGCCATATGACTATATCAGCTGTCTCCCATCAAAGGGAATCAGAGAGCAAGCGATCGACGCTTTGAATGTTTGGTGCCGTGTCCCTGCCACGAAGCTTGACAGAATCAAATTGGTGACCAACATGCTTCATAACACTTCGTTGATGTAAGAATTTAACCTTGTGCCTCGTCAAAGCATATAACTGAGAGATAACAGGCTAGACGACTTGGAGGATGGCTCGAATCTCCGGCGCGGAAAGTCGTCAACACATACGATCTTCGGAGCTGGCCAGACTGTGAATGCGGCCAACTACCAGATCATTCGTGCTCTGGAAGAGGTACAGAAGTTTGGGGACGCAGAAAGTATCCTAATTTTTACTGGTCAGTCGTCATACCTCTGGTAATTGTAGGAACAAGACTGACCTGTTCTTATCTGGCAGAGGAACTGAAGAACCTCTACGTCGGTCAGAGTTTGGATCTGTACTGGACAAACAACGTTATCTGTCCGTCTGTCAATGAATACTTCCGCATGGTAGAGCACAGTAAGTGGAGATATTGAGGGCAAAATTATTTTACCGCATGAAAATAACAAATGCAACAGAAACTGGGGGTCTGTTCAGACTCTTCGGTCGCCTAATGTCACTCTACTCAACCAACCCAGTCAAGGCCGATATTATCAGTCTTCTGAATCAGTTTGGACGGTACTTTCAGACTCGAGATGATTACCAAAACTTGACTTCTCCAGAGGTATGCCAGAGTCCCTGTTGTTGTTATCAAAACGATTAACCCCTCCAGTACACCAAACAAAAAGGATTCTGTGAGGACTTGGACGAGGGCAAGTTCTCGCTTCCCCTCATCCATCTCATGCTTTCCGCGCCATCAAACTCTGTCGTCCGCAATATCTGGACTCAGCGACTGGTCAACAACAAGGCCAGTTTGGCCCACAAGCAGACCATCCTGGAGCTGATGAAAAAGAGCGGAAGTCTACAATTTACAGTAGACGCGTTAGACCTATTACAAGACAAAGTGGAGAAGAGCATTTCAGACCTAGAGGCCAAGTTTGGGGTTGAGAACTTCCAGCTGAGACTGATTCTTGAGATGCTGCGGAAGAATTAGGCGGCAAGGCTACTTTTGTTTTCTGCGTTTTCGTCTGTTCTCGGATGTTTTTGCACAATAAATTGGTAGTGCCCCTCTGAGCTAGTTTGCCGTTGGTTAGTGATTTGAATAGATCCACCTATTATGCATTGACTCTCTCCACGAGATACGAGGATGAGGCCAGGGTGAAAAGGGGGTCGGACAGTTGACGACCTGATTGGACAAGTTTAAGGTTCGGTTAGGAAATCAACCCTGCCATCTAGTCCGCTATGAGCCGTATTGATTAAAGCACTAAACTAGTGGATAAGCACTTACTCCTGCCCTGCAGGTAAACCCTGATCTCCATGTCCTAACCCTTGTTAGTACAGCCCAATACGCGTTCTAAATTCCGTCCTCCTGCATATACGAGAGCGAGATTGAAATAGATCTACGCTAACGACACGGGACAGATATGCAGTATGCAGAACCCTGGCGGACATAGGACATAGGAACTATCTCCGGTCGTTAAACAGGGAGGAGGCGTTTTTCCGCATGTACCTTTTCCGTAGGTCAGGTACGACGTAGGAAAATGATTACTTGACGTTACACGTATTGTTATTTAAATATGATCCTCTTCACCTGGCAACTTAATATCTCCACTCCTTCAGGCACGTAAGCGGCAACATGGTCTCGTCAACCTCGGATTCACTCGCTGTGGCATCTCCAACCGCTGCCGAACCTGATGCGAGGTCGGTCCATACCTCGATGGACCTCGCCAAACCCTCGCCAAGTCAAAGTCTCTCCAAGGAGGGCTCCTTGGCGGATGAAGAGAAACATGCGGTCCCTCAAGCCGGAGAGACGGCTGCGGGGCCTGACACCCCTAACATTGTCGACTGGGACGGCCCTGACGACCCTGGAAATCCCGTCAACTTCAGCGGCCTCATTAAATTCACCAATGTTGGAATCATTAGTGCGCTGACTTTCATCACCCCGCTGGCATCTTCGATGTTCGCTCCCGGCGTCCCCCAGCTCATGGAGGAATTCCATAGCTCGAGTACGCTGTTGGCCGGGTTCGTGGTGTCGGTCTATGTTTTAGGATTCGCCATTGGACCGCTCATCTTGGCCCCGGCCTCAGAGCTTCTGGGGAGAGCCATTATTTACCACGTTTGCAACATCGGCTTTGCGGTGTTCACCGTTGGGTGTGCCGTGAGCACCAATCTGGGGATGCTCATCGCTTTTCGGTTTTTCCAGGGCTGCTTTGGCTCGGCGCCTGTTACAAACGGTGAGTTGTTTCCTTCCCTTCGGCTGCCTCCTAGCCATACCAGATTGCTCATGCTCCAGCTACTGCAGGAGGAGGCACGATTGCGGATCTCATCGTTCAGGAAAAACGTGGAGGCGTCATCGCCATCTATGCCCTCGGCCCTTTGCTGGGCCCCGTCATCGGCCCCGTGGCAGGAGGCTACCTCACAGCGGCTAAGGGCTGGCGCTGGGTCTTCTGGGTACTCACCATAGTAAGCGGAGCCTGTACGGTCGTGTCATTCTTGTTCCTGCGCGAAACATATCCGACGGTCCTTCTCAAGCGCAAAACGCAACGCCTCATCAAGGAAACTGGCAACACCGACCTCCGCTCAAAACGAGACAAGGGCCTCTCCACCAGTCAGCTCTTTATCCAAGCCATTATCCGTCCATCCAAGATCTTGCTCCTGTCACCCATCGTCTCCGCAAGCTCAGTTTACGTGGGCATTGTGTACGGATACCAGTATCTGATGTTTTCGACCTTCACCTACGTCTTTGAGGACCAATACGGGTTTCCAACCAAATCCTCCGGTCTGACCTTCCTCGGGATCGGTGTGGGTTCGCTACTCGGCCTCTTCGTCATTGGCGCGGTCTCCGATCGGATACTCAAGGCAAAATCCAAGCCCACCCCGCAGGCTCCCTCTGGTGTCATGAAGCCGGAATACCGCCTGCCGCCGCTCGTCGTGGGCGCATTCTTCATCCCGGCGGGTCTGTTCCTGTATGGTTGGTCTGTGTACTACAAAACGCACTGGATCTTGCCGATGATCGGCACCGCACTTGTGGGAATAGGCAACATTGCAGTCTTCATGTGCATTACTAGTTACCTGGTCGATGCGTTCACGATCTATGCGGCCAGTGCCCTGGCCGCAAACACGGTCGTGCGCAGTATTATGGGCGCATTGCTGCCCTTGGCGGGACAGAGCATGTATCAGTCGATGGGGCTGGGATGGGGGAACAGTTTGCTGGGGTTTATTGCCGTGGTGTGTATTCCAGTGCCATGGGCGATGATGCGGTATGGAGAGCGGATGCGGACGGCATTTGATCTGAGTAGACTATAGATATTGCGTAGAAGGTGAGTATTTACGGAACTGGTGGGCGTCGACATGACGCGGATTAATACAGTATCTTGTATGAATGCATTGTCAGGTCGTTCCCATCTATACCCTAACCAACCAAGTCCATCTCCGCCGTCTTCTCCGGGTCTCTCACACTGATCTCATTCACTTTCACATGAGCAACCCTTGCTGCTCTTGTTACACCATCAATACTGCCCACAGCAACGGCCGTCTTTCTTCCCGCCTCATCAAGAACCCACTTCATCGGCCCCAGTGGCAACTCCTTCTCTCCCTCCCACCCTAAGCCCGCTTGAATACCGACATCTATATTCAGCGATGTACCATGATCCCAGTCAAACCCCCCGCCAAACTTACTCGGAATACTCTCCATATCAATATACTTTGTCAGCGTCGGTAGCATCTCGCCCGCCGTCAGAACCACCACCTTGTCCGCTGTGCCCGGGTCCAGCCATTTCCTCATAATACCCCACATCATTGCAAAGTACGATGGGGCATTGATGACCTAAACTCGCTGTCAGTTGCCACCCTCCCGGTGCATGGAAGCAGAAGGAAAGAAGACGAGAGACGAACTAATAGCCGATCAATAATCTCCGGGTACCCCATCATCAGCAAATGTCCAATATCACTCGTGTAGTTCTTGATATCCCAGGCCTGCTTGATCGTGAAGGCAGCGATGTCCACGAGATACAGCGCGCTGGTGATCGGGACGGTCGGCCTCGGTCGGTCCTGCATCGCGGTGCATAAGGGGAATACAAAGCGGGTGAGGTGGTCGTGGGCGATGCTGGCTCTCTGAATCGCGGCCATGCTGGTCTCTGGGGCGGTTCCACGGCTCTTCTCGTACTCGGTTAGAGTAGATCGATTGAGATGGCCGATGTCAAACAGGCAAATGGGGAGACCTTCTTTTGTTCGTCGGCCACACCAGTGGGGGTACTGTCATATTGATGCAGGGCTCAGAAAGTGTCTGTATAACAGAGGGTGGTGGTACTCACGAGAAAGCGCGCAGTCTCGAATTCCGAGACGTCAATCTCATTGTAACGCGTAGAAATGTGGTTGTTTTCACGCGTGGTGACGGCTTCCTGGAACTGCTTTAGGGCACGATAGGGATCGAACCCGCGGGCGCAGAGGTATCGTCTAGCTTCGAGTTAAAGATGTTCCTCAACAGAGTCTATTGCCAAGGGAGACGGACAACAGAGCAGTTTCATCATTCAATCCATCTTGTACCTCGTTGTCCGTCAGGCCAGCGGGTCGGGCGAGAAGACCTCTGTCCGCACATAGCTTCAAGAGGGTCTCGAACGCAGACAAGTGCTGTTCGGGCAAATCGTGGAAGACGCCAGTCTGGGTCGCCATTGTGCTGAACAATGACTAATCGGTTGAGTCGGAGGTGGGATGGCAAACAAGCGGGGTTGGATTTCATAGTGAAAGGGACATGGCAAGATAATGGATGGAGTATATCGGAGGTGGCTGATTATCCCTGTAGCCGCCTCGTATATCAAATGCCCTAGTCGTTCATGTTACATTGCATCCACCATGCGATGGCGCCATAAATCTAATTAGATTAATATCAAGCTTACAAGGATGAGGCGTAGCCTGGATCGTCAGTTCTTGAGCAACAATACATAAGGTCTGCGGTCTTGACACTGCATAACACGAGGTCTTCGAGGCCCAGGATGCAGGTCTACAGATTATCACCCACTTAGACAAAAGCAAACAGAGTTATCTATTGTTCAGGAATGCTTCCCTGCAGGAAATTCCGAAACGTCCAGGAAGGATCGCTCTCCAGACACGTCCTCCGCACACTCTCCAAAAACGGAGTAAAGCCTTCGTCCTGCAGAGACCGCTGCAGAATCGCCACGGACCTCTTCGTATCAGAGACCCACTTGGTGCCTTTCTGCTTCATCTCACCCTCGTCTCCTGCCGGCCATGCACGAGTCGGGTCGATTTGCTCGAATGCCCTGCCAAAGTTGCTCAGCTTGAACGGGTCCGCCAAGGCAAGCAGCCGCTCATTCTGGACGTCCTCATCGGTCAACCCGGCCAAATGCAACACGGCGTTATCCACCACGTCGACGACCCACGGCGCGGTAATCCACGCGAATGCTTGGTTACAGGTGGGGTCATCGAAATACCCCTTGACCAGGGCAGCCGTGCTGCCCCGTTGCTTAGAGTGGACAATGGGCCCGATCACGAATCCAGGAAGCACGGAGTTTTGTACAAATGAGGGCTTCTCTTCGCTAGCGAACTTCCAAAACAGCCTTTCACATTCCGTCTTGAGAGACTGGTAGACGTCTAGAGCACGCATGGCATCGTAGGGTGGGGGTGCCCAGGCCCGTGCGGTACTGGTCTCGTTCCAACTATCTTTGCTGACTAGGACCTCTGGCGCGGCTGGGACAAATGTATCCACGGCCGCGGTATAACTGCTTGTCAGGACGAAGCGTTTCACTGAGGGTACTTGGGCGGCGGTCTTGAGAGCTGCATGCAGCGCTTCGAGTCCCGGCGTGATGACCTGGTTTGGATCCGGGTTCAAACTGGTATCTGCGGCCATGTAGACGATACCATCGACGTCTTTGATGAGATCGTCCATGACTCCTGGCGCAGAGAGAGAAGGGACGACAAGGGCTTGAAATTTGCCGGCGGGATAACGTGCCATGATGGCCTCGGTGATCCATGAGGCGCTGTCAGGGCTTCGCACAGTGCCTCTGACGGCGTATCCCCGTTGGATCAGTTGTAGAGCCAGATGGGAGGCGAGAAAGCCATTAACCCCTGTGATGAGGACAAGACCTCCAGTAGGAAGGATAAGCCCCATTCTGAAGCTGTGGCGTTGCGTGGAAAAGGAGGAGAGTTGGAAGGTGATTTTCGTGGAATCGAAGGACCCTTGGAGGAGCGCACCTCGTTCCTTTATATAGATATATAGACCATCTGAACCCGGAGGAGACCCCGTGCAAAATATCCAGCCAACCGGAGGTGAGGGTACTAAGCTTCCTATATGCAGACTCTATGACCCCGTTGCGTATTGAGTCTGTAATAAAAGGCTGTTTTTGGAGCAAGGCACAGATGACTAAATAGTTATTCAAACAACTTTCATCAGATCTCATAGGGTTGTTGCAGTATCTCAGTCCTAGACTTTCATAGACTATGCTGACACGTGGCATAATCAATGCGACATACATCCCGCAGGATGCATGTATCACCCACATATCAGCAAACAACCAACCATCAAACCCTCACGATGGCTCAAAAAGCATCCTAGACACCGTTAAAGAATGCGACAGGTACACGCAGCTTCCACTATCCACATGCTGACACTGACAAGCCCCACGGCTTCATCTACCACGCCGAAAACCCTACCAAATACGCCCAAACATTGTAAAACTACAACGCCTTCTCCGTCTAGGCCCATTAGGATTATGGAGCATCTCAGAAGTTCCTGGGAACGCTCAAAACGTTTCCAGAAATATGAAGTCAGCTTCCGGGACCGTCTGCCTGTTCGTAGGAAGCTGCAATCTATTCTGGAACTGCAGCCTATGCTCCTAGTTCGTGGATCTGTCGGCTTTAGGAGCGCATACTCTGATAATGGAGCCGTCGAACTCCTAAGGTCCTTGCCATGGGTTGTTGTCAAGGTCTCACTCGAACATCGAGATGGAGAGCGTGTTTCTCATGTGTTTCAAATATCTTATTTCCAGGAACCAGAAAACGTTTTCTGAGGGATATGCTACTCGTCAGCTGCATTATGTTGATTCTTCTTGGATCCTTCACAACGATACTGTCAAGGGGCTTCGAACTGGCCAAGTCCTCAAGCATCAGTCCTCGTTCAGCTCAACCAGCTCGCGATGTTATTGACCAGGAAGGCAACGCATTTGAGTTTCATGCCACCCGCCTTGTCATCGGCGTATATCACTCATATCTTCTCATATATGATCGACCGCTGAGTTCGATACGGGAAAATCTGCACTGGGGAGGCCTACGGTTTCCTACATGTCCCCAACGTATTCCAGTTTCTCCGACCAGAAACGCAATAAATCCCTGGCTGTGCTCCGGCCGCCTGTTATGAAGGCTTGTTGGATAGACATCGGGTATCGATTCAAAAAATTCGAATGGGTCCAAACTTATCTACAACTTCCGCCCAAATATCGCGCTTTGATGTGTTTCATCAGTGACCAATTTTCAACGATGTGACTAGACAGTGGTGAGATCAACACACATTGGTAATTGCTGAGCGAGTAAAATGGCAGGTTGCGACGTCTTCAGAGGTGGGCAAATTCAATTTCCCCGACTTTTTTCGTGGCGTTTAAATGGTTAATCACCCAGATCATTACTGGAGGTTATGAAATGGCTTGATATATTTTGATGAGTGGTCAAATTTAACTATCCTGGCCGGTTATTGCCTTTGTGGTCCAATGGCTGGTTGGAAAATGGCTAAATTTTAACTCCTGGTATACGTACAGCTGCGGCCACAGGTCAGTTTTGGCCGCCATCGAAAGCTTGCCATTTAAGCGGCCCTCCTGGGCGTCTCCAGAATCAGTTTCTTTTATTATCTCACTTCCTTATTCAGGGCCGATAGCGCGCTATTTAAATATTAGCTGACAATTAGCTCGCATACACCAGGATGTCGACGTCTTAACGGATTGGTACAAGAAAAGTGGAGACCCCCATTCTGGAGCTGCTGTTCTTCTAAGAAAACTTGTTGGCCCCCCTTCGCCATTATTAAAGCTAATGACCAGTAATAACGTCTTAAGCAGGTTGTTTTGCCTGTTTCCTACCTTGTTGTTTATTGTTTATTTGGGAAAATCTCCTCACGTCTGAGAGACGGCAGCCAAAACAAGAGCTACTGCAACACTGATGTATCAAAGAACCCCCTTGACATGAATCCAGAATGATATTAATGGGCTATTCCTAGTGTTGTCTAATCTCGTCGATTTCGTATTCAAGTCAGCCAAACTTTGGTCAGTTTTTACTCCGCATACAAGGACCAGGACACCGATCTGGCAAATGTCACGCAGAATTTCGAAGACCTTCAGGGTATCTTTCGATCTCTCGAAACTGCAGTCCATGATCGCCGATCTCGGGCCGATGCACAAGAGCTACTCCAAGTCGACAAAGCCACCCAAAGATGCCAGGAAATCATCGAAGAGCTCCAGCTAGAGTGCCAAAAATTCCGCACAGACTCTGCCATCAGTTTGAAAGGTCGTATCAAAGTTGCTGGACGTCGCGCCGCATATCCATTCCGCAAGAGCACCCTACAGAAACTTGAAGAAGACGTCAGCGAGGTACGTAAAAACTTGTCGCTCGCACTCGACGTCCTAGAGATCAAGAGCCACCATCAGATCCATCATGATATAGCGGAACTTAAACCGCTTCTCGAGCGAATAAACATGAGTCACATTTCTTCAACGATCCGTGGTTGGCTGACGGCCCTCGATGCATCTATCGACCACAACGCCATATGCGCGAAACGTCAAACGAATACTGGTTTATGGCTCGTCAATAGCTATCATTTTACAAACTGGCTAGCAGAGCGCAATTCCTTCCTCTGGATTAATGGCTTCGCAGGGTGTGGGAAGTCGGTCCTATGCTCAACTGCAATCCAATACACATTCCATGAGATGAAAAACACGCAGGGAGTAGGGATCGCGTTCTTTTACTTCTCCTTCAACGATGAATCAAGGCAAAATTATCACGGCATGATACGCGCGTTGCTATTACAGCTGTCGACATGACCCTCGCTATGGCCGCGTCTGCTGTGCCGATCGATTCATCTCGTACCTCGAAGTCCAAGACCTTCTCGGTCAATCAGGTGGCTAGGAAGCATTTTGGTCCCAGGAAGGTCAACCTTGCAGGCATGTACGTCCATGCTCTTGGAAAGCATGGTGCCGAGATCCCCGACAACATCCTTGCCGCAGTTGAGAATGGCTCAGTCATAGCCACTCCTTCGGCCAGTGACGAGGAGTATGACTGTCCTGTTACCATTGGTAACACTATTATGAACCTTGACTTTGACACTGGCTCGTCCGATCTCTGGGTCTTTTCAACAGAGATCCCCGCTTCAGCGCAGACTGGGCACAGCATCTATGACCCAAGCAGCGCTACCCCTCTCAGTGGCTACACGTGGAACATTTCGTATAGTGACGGTAGCTCTGCTAGTGGTAATGTCTTTCAAGACACTGTTACTATCGGTGGTGTACAGGCAACTAGTCAGGCCGTTGAAGCCGCTGAGCAGGTCAGCCAGCGGTTCGTGTCAGACAGGAACAATGATGGTATCTTGGGCCTGGCTTTCAGTTCTATCAATACTGTCCTTCCTCAGCAGCAGCTGACTTTTTTCGATACTGTCAAGTCGCAGCTCGCGCAGCCCCTCTTTGCTGCTTGCCTCAAGCACAACCAGCCTGGCGTCTATGACTTCGGATTCATCGATCAGACGAAGTTCACCGGCTCACTAGCCTATACACCGGTCGATAGCTCCCAAGGGTTTTGGATGTTCAGTGCCGACAATTATACGATTGGCAGTGCCGCAGCTGGATCTTCTATCTCAGGGATTGCTGGCAGGTGACTCCCTCCTCTATTGGCTTACTCACGCTAATCTGCAAACTAGACACTGGAACCACCCTGCTGCTCCTCGACACTAGCATTGTATCTGCCTATTACCAGCAAGTTACCGGCGCCAAGAATGACCCGCAGGTTGGAGGTTACACTTTCCCTTGCTCTGCCCAGCTACCCGACTTCAGCATCTCTGTCGGTAGCTATCAAGCCGTTGTCTCCGGTTCTTTGATTAACTACGCGCCCGTCTCCTCTGGCAGCACTACCTGCTTTGGGGGAATTCAGGGCAATAGCGGCATTGGTTTCTCTATCTTCGGAGACATCTTCCTCAAAAGCCAGTATGTTGTTTTCGACTCTATCGGTCCGCAGATTGGCTTTGCCCAGCAGACATAGGCCGGCCGAGCCAACTCCCCATAAATTATTTCTCTTATGAGGCACTTTGATCTCAATAGATAGACCAGCCTTTACCTCCGCGAGGTGGCTTGGGCGCTAGCTTGGTTGGCTTATTTATCAGCCCAGTGATGCAAACATCACTGACGGTTATGTTTGTTTGTACTCGTCACGTGGCATCCAGTACGATTTGGGTCGTCGTTCCGAACGACGTAGATGCCTATCGAAAGACGATTCTTTCCTGGCAGCCGAGCACTCTAGCTAAGAATTTCTCACCTGTCCAGACCAGTGCCACAAAACAAAACCCAACCACCACTAAGTCCTTGTTTTAAACCTAATAGAAACCAAGCAATACACTAATTTGAATACTGAAATCGGGGTAGTATCATCATTCAAGCTATGAAAACCTTCACCTCGGGGAACGAGAAGATGTGGATAAACCAACATCCCATCCCTCAAACAGACTGAGGTGATTAGGCTGACAGACGTTGTCCAATCAAAGCACGCGTCCCTGCCAAGACGGATGGAAGCGTCCAGTCACACGACTCCAAAATCAAGGCTGGCAGGTCAAATTTTAGTACCGCCGGGTTTCTTTGTTTGCTATGGAGACTCCAATCGCTGGGGCCGGGGTCGGGGTCGGGACTTTGCATGGGGCTGGTCTCAAAAATGGTCGCGGGCTTTCGGGCTCTTTCTCTCAATGAAGCCTCCAAGGTGTAGCAAACAAAGAGGACGAGCACTGCGAATTGGCCATTCATTTCCATCGCATCCCCCCACCTCCTCCCCCTGGACACATGCACTGAATAAATTTTTCCGACATGTTTGGGTCTCAGTTACCAGCCATGACAACGAAAACCTCCCTGCGGCCGCTGCGGCCGCTGTGCCCGATCGAGAAAGGCTCTTTCTCCCAACTGCAGACACCACGTTCATTATGTCGAAAGCGACGGAATGTCTCTCTTGCTTGTACAGAGTGTCGCCAAAAAAAGACCAAGGTTAGAACTAATGAATTCGTTCTATCCCAGTGCTAACAGGAACTAGTGTTCTGGTACGACTCCATGCGCGAACTGTACAACGAAAGGTTGTCGATGCATCTATGATCATAGCAGTGATTGCAGGCGCAAATCTTATAGCGCTGAACCATCCACATTGCGTCAAGCACTGCTCTACGCCGTGGTTAAGCTTCGTTCTGGAACCCCGGATAACGTGAAATCATTCATTCTAAAAATCCGGAGCTTGCAGACCGACCGAGATGGAGAACTTTTTCTCCTTAAGGAGAGCGGGCTGTCTAATGTCGGATGACAGCTGGGCGGGATCAAAGGGGCTTGACACGGGGCATGACCACTTGTGCACAAATGGCGATTACTGGATTGTGTCTGAGCAACGTATCCTTTTTCTCCTCCTATTTGCAGTATCTATGGTTTGAAAGATGTACGTATGGCCTTGATCTGTTACGAGATGTCTGCTTTATATGATCAGTGTGAGTTAGTGGACCTGTTTTTGGACTATTGGTTATCCCTGTCGCTACCATCGGCCGGCATAGATATATATATATCCATATGAGACTTCGGAACAACTTAACAAGCATCCGGACCAGAGATTTTCCCCTGTTTTAGAAAGCCAATTTGTGCCCGCACGTCGTTCTAAGGATTAGATGAACTACAAAACATTCGATAGACACGGAACAACACGTTCACCCGGGCGATTTCGACGCGTTAATAGTCGAGAAAATGCTCTTTCCTATTATGGGGGTTCAACTCATGACCCACCCTCGCGTCACCACTGATAAGGGGGTAGATAAGGCGATGAACTCGTGACTACCCATTCCACCCCTGCAAAGCCTTCAAATGAAGCTACACCAAAACAAGTTATATTTGCCAGCGTGTTACAGAAGGTTAGACCCAGCACCCTCGTATTCACCCCCCAGAAGAAAGGACAGGATCAACTCAGCTGTACTGTACTGCGATCCGAGAGCCTGGGTCACTGGCCTGCTCCTGACTGGCCAATGACTGGTTGTTACATTGCTTGGTAACTACCGCGTGTCTCCAAATGCAGCTGTCTGTTTCATCTCTGCGATTCAGTCGGTCGGCAGTTCATAGATCATAGATTGTCTCGCATGCAAATGGCTATAGCTAAATTTTATCTCCACACATTGGGTTCGTGTCCGTGAGCAGATGCCGACAGCTGGATAAGCAACTGGATCTCTCCAATGATTTCGGTGATAAGATAGGGATCGGCGGCCGTGGCAACGTTCGCACCGGAGCTCACCGCCTCTCGAATTAGTGAAGAGGGCGATCTCGTCGAAAGGGTACTCAGGGGGAGAATCCTGCGCAATTCCGGAATACTGAGGTCCTAGACGACCGGCGCTATACTCATCGCCACTAGAGACGAGCGGCCGCAGTAGGTTTCTTGATCTATTTCGATTGAGCAGTTTACGCTTTTGAATGTGGGTCACATACCGAGAATGTATCCAGAGTCCAGTACCACGCAGCCAGCGCATCCTTATGTGCAAGCTTGAGGGTACAGTAGTGGGTATCGTCTGACAGGATTATGGCTTTTTGACAACTCACGGCGTGTCTTGGGCGATATAGAGCATATGAGTCTTTCCAACGATTCCATCAATGCTATTTTCTATAGCTATACGTTTCGGCAGGAACCCCACTTAATGCTGCAGGGGGTAATGAATGCCATTTGAGCGATCTGCCTCGAAGTGGCCCGCTCGCACTACGCCCAAAATGTGTTTGCCTTTGTTAGCGGTGGTCAACGCAGCTTTCTTCTCTTCTCAACCATTCATGCGTGTTGCCAAACCGTATTTTGCGCTCAGAATGAAATATAGCAATTATTGTGCTATTTATTGAAGTTCAACAGTGGACTAAGCCAGGCACATGTAAGTAATCTAGTTCGTTTCTGATTTACTGAACTGGGTCCTTTCCGTTAGGCAAAACGATTGTGCGCTGGAGTTGTCATAGGCCCAGCATGTGGAACACAAACGTCTTGAATGCTAGTTTAACAGATATCTAGAGAGATATGAGCAGTTGACATTTTTTTCAGTAGGGGCCGCCGCCCCTGCAGAGGAAATGCAATGGCCATCATTATCGGCAACCTAGTGAACAGAAAATATTCAGCTAGGGTCGTGCTTAGGTTAACTTGGCTAGGCACGTAATTGGCCCTAACTGCTGCATCTTAATATAGATACGACCGGTGTTGAACAGAAGAGCAGTATCCAACACAGCCCCAGCCAGGTGAACTTAGATAGATCTTGAGATGCCAACTGCATCTAGAACATAGTGGATACAGTCAAACGTGAACAAAAACTGCGGTCAATGTTGAACAGAAGAGCGTATTTAATACTTTGGAATTTACTAAGGAAAGGGAATATTCTTCGTCCATGTAGCTCAGGCATCGGTGGCGAGCTTCTTTTCGTATTAGAAACTTATCTAATGGTGAGGGCTATCAAAAGATACAGGGATACTGTACCAAAAACCATCTCCTGTAGAGAAGGAAGTCGCAGCTGCGGGAAAGAGATGTCATTCTTATTCGCCCTTCTACTCTTTTCAGTTATCAACGTGGTGTTGGCTGGGTGTACAGTGATCTACATTTGGAGAACGGAGCCCAATTTTCCAGCACATCGGCGCTGCCCATCGCTGGGGCTGGGGGATAGCCAGTGGAGTGCTTGATAATGACTGGTCAGCCCTGGGCCGCCCTAGATTGTGCATTAGCGAAGGATGTGATCACGACCTTACTTACGAGGTCATCCTCCCGGGGGCGGGTTTAGTGACAAACGTATGTAGTCGTCCATTTAGCATCCTCATTACTAGCTGTATGTCAAAACCGTAATGACTACAGAGGTGAACTCGACTAGAATGGGTTGATTCAACTGCAGTGCTGCAGTACTGATAGTAACTTGTGACCGGTATAGATGAATCCAACACGGTAGAAAATGGGGTGATCCAACTGCGGCGTTGTAGTGCCGATAGTTAGTGTTAAACGGCAGGGATAAATCCAGCACGCCACACAGGTGAACTCGGCCGGGTCCGTACTCAACTGTGGCGAGTACGGATAGTCACTGGTGAACGGCTGGAATGAATCTGACATGCCAGGGAGGTTAACGGCCAGACCGGTGTGAACTGCAATCTTGTAGCGTAGATAGCCAATGTTGAAGGGCAGGGATGAAACTACCACGGTGGAGGTGAACTCAGCCAGGCTCAGGTGAACTTCGACTTGTCTCGTGTGATAAAACTGCAGCAATGTTGCAGTGAACACAATAAATGGCGAACAAAGGATTCCAGCCAAGTTTACCTGATGTGAGCCGTTTTAGGTGCTACTCCTCTGTTTACCAGAGGTTGCATCGACGGTGGTGCAGCTGCGGGATGGCATCACACGAGTCTAGACTCACCAACTCTGTTCAACATTGGATATGTCCACCGCAGTATTGCCGCAGTTGGCGGCAACCTTGCCTAAGTAAGTTCATTTGAATTCAATCATATTGACGCAACTTTTGTTCAAATTTCACAATATACAACAGGTAAACATGGTGGGATTCTTGTGATCCAACTGTACTATTGCAGTATTGATAATGTTCAACGGCAGGGATGGATTCAACAAGCCACCGAGATGAACTCGGGGACAAGACCATCGGGGACAAGACCATCGGGGACAAGACCATCGGAGACAAGACCATCGGGGACAAGACCATCGGGGACAAGACACTGAATCATAGACAAAAAAGGGAAATCAGAACAAACTATCATTCAGGTAAACCAAGCTAGGGTTGTGTAATGCCAACTACAGCTACGCCGCGCCCCTTCGATAGCAAACTGATATACGGCATTTGGCGTTGGTCGTGTTCGCCCTGGTGCAATTGCAGCCGCCAGCCGCCTCACAGCAATAGAGCCTGCCCTATTGACCCTTTCTAGACTCGTGTGGTATTTAAGTTGGTCATCGTCCTGGTCAAATTCGAGAAGTTGAACTGAAAAATTACACTTGTGAACAGCATTTGCCTCGGAAAGAGCCGACTATCCTGTATCAGAAAGATAGCACCCAGGAAGACTTGCGGGAAGACAATTTTACTTCTGTTTGACAAACCACTTGAAACGACAATAATTTACAGTCACTGATATATAAGGAGGACATCTTCCTACAAGGAACGTTGCATGGTTGTCTGTTGTCTTCGATACTGTATCATTTCGTCAGTACAGTGTAAACCGAACCACACCGACCAGCAAAATGAAGAAAAGAAGAGAAAAAACAGATAACAGAATTTTTCAGAGAGTATCTAGAAGCCATGATGTTGCTCAAGTTTGGGAATCGCATCGAAGAATGTATTCAATCATTGGCTGGTCGGACCAAAGGCTATTTGTCCATCGGTGGAAGGTCATTTCAAGAAATAATGTTGGTTTCCACGGTTCTGTTGACACTGATCAAGCTAATTTCTTAAAGACAGGACGAAACGTGCTCCGATAAGGACCTTGATTCACTCATTGCTCACATGAAGAGCAAACGCCCACATCTCTGCGCTGTCTTCTCGGATTTGGATCCACTAGGCAGTGAGCTATTGAAGACTGGCACCCTTCCGTCGCATGTGGATTTCAGTAATATTGCATCTAAGGTACAGCGAGCTCTAGATAATGATCGTGACGAAGCGGCTCGAGACAATTGTACAGCAATATTCGAAATCAGTTTACCCAATCTACTCATGAATTGTTTCCCAAGCCCTAACTTGAAACACGCTAATCCAAACTTGGTTACTCCTTCGACGGCCCCTGTTCACCTGCTGCCGTATCGGCAAGACAGTAACGAGTGAGATACTGTTATACAGAGACGACAAGTCCTAGCGAACTCGCCAGATCTCAACAACTCTCTCCTCCCTGCCGTACGCAGTCTTCGTCCACGCCCGTCTTGCTATACTTGTGGGGTCTTTAGAAATAAAGCTCATCACCAAATTATCGCATTTCAACAGTGAAATTTTCAGAGGCCTACGGTTTTAACCAAGCATGACTACACAACCTCAAAGCATCATTCCTTTACCCTTGTGGATTCTCGTGCCGCTAGGAATTGTCGTCATTCCTATCCTCCCCTTCCTCTCAGCATACTCGAAATCCAAAAAGAAGTTCGAGGACTGGAAAAAGAAGGATCCGCCCGTTCGCCCACTACGTCGCAATCGAAAGCGTGCCCTAACGCTGCCTTTACCCAAAGCTTCATACTCCGGTCGCAAAGCACAACGGACATATGATCAGTCACAGTCGCTTTTTTTAAATCGATTATCATCTGACATTCGACTGATAATATATGAGTATGTATTAGCACCACCAGGCGATCAGGTCCTACATGTTGCGGCTATCTCCGGTCGTCTCTATGGCATCCGATGCTACGAAACAGACCCTACGCGACCGGCGTGGAAGCACAAATGCTGGGAATCCTCTGATCTCATCCAGGATCATCCCCGATACCCCAAATCCTCCAAATTTCTCAGTTTACTATACTCATGCCGTCAAATGTTAGTATATGAACACACGCAAATATGATCTTTATTGCTAATAGGCATAGTTATTCTGAGGCAGTCAATATCCTCTATACGAAGAATATCTTGAGTGTGCAGCAGACAAGAGCGGTTCTAAATTTTCCACATGTCATGCTACCCCATCGCCTTGCATTAATCCGCAAGTTGAATATCGATCTTCTTATTTATGCCAAAGTCATTCTTGGTGTCTTCTTGAGCTATGAATGGCCAAAAGCCTTCACTAAGGACTGGAAGAGCCTTTGTCAGGTCCTATTTAAAATGGGCACTTGCGGCCTTCAACGCCTTGAGATCACATTAAAACTTTGTGGCAGTAATAGAAGGGAGTTTGGAGCTTGGGCCACCGACGATGAACTTGCCTTACTCCTGGATTCACTCATGGGTATTCAGGTTCGAGAGTTCAGTGTATTCCTACAGGACTGGCCACAGTGCAAAGAAGATGTGTTGCGCATCCTGGGGAGCGACCCTCCTCTTTCTATTGAAAACAGGTAGCGATGATTAATTAATGTCTCTCTACATCGACATAATCCCTGAGGGTAAGCATGTGAATAGGATTTGGAGTATGATTATGGCAGGTGTGATTCTGCACACGGTTGTTCGATCGCGATGGGCTACAGCCAAGATCGTCTTTGTAGTCTTTCCGCCTTGATACATTATTCAATGTCCCACCACCGTCATGTAAAATACAAGGTCTATTTTTAGAAGAGGAGGATCTACGACTATCTCATATTTAGATTAGTGTGTTTCAGGTTAGGGTTTCGGAATCAATAGGAGAGAGTATGGTGGTATATCTGATTTCGAATATCACTGTAAATGGGCGACCGATCCGATTGGGATAGCGATTGATAGCACGGTTGTCCGGAAGTCATATCGCTGTAATCGAAAAATTGTTGTGTTGTGTGCCGAGCGGGAACTAACGGCGGACCGATGGCGGACCCACCCGTGGGGGCTCCCGAAGCCCCTCCCACATACACCCAAGGAACGAGAAACCCCTTTTCAGCGGTTAACTTCGAACCATCGTTCGTTCCTCGCAAGAGAAGGAGCCCTCGTCATGGAGACGAAATTACCACTAGCGCACGCTCGAACCCCGAGTTTGCGGCCACTGGCGAAAATGGTGGGCGGGTCACAACTAAGGAGCTGCGACAGCTCATCGACAGCCTGAAGGAAATCATCACCAACCAGACCGCTGTTATTGAGTCCACAAAGGCGGACCTCCAAGAAGTCAAACGCGACCAACAGGCCCTCAAATCTATCAACGACGAGCTGAGAGAAGAAGTGCGAACGCTTCGGACGCAGATCGACGGGCTAGCCAGCACTCTACCAACGCGATCATGGGCCTCTGTAGCAGCCGGCACGGGCAACCCTGGACCCCCGGTGCAACACCAACGACCTGACAAAGACCGCAACTGCGTCCGAATTAGCACACAGCGCGCGTATGTTGATCCCCAGGATAATGAAGATGGTGAGGAAAACGCCTTCGGCCGATACCTCCCCACCGCTACCGCCAATACCCACATCCGAACCGCGTTGTTGAATACGTCGGCTACTCAAGACGTGCAAGTAGCTGGTATTGGCACCACGAAGACCGGGTACATGATCCGGTTCAAAGACGTCGAGTCGGCCGAGACCGCCCGTAACAACACAGAGTGGTTAAACGAACTGGGCAACGACACGAAACTAGTCAAGCCCCGGTTCGGCATCGTTGTGCACCGTACTCCAACGGAAGGCTTCGATCTCAACGGAGACAAAGCAGGAGCCATCGAGAAGATCATGAGCGAAAACGAGTTGACTGAGCCGGGATTCCAAATCGGGGACCTTGCGTGGCTGAAGAAAAGAGACAAAGTGCTAGGCAACTTCGCGTCACTCGGCATATGGTTTGATACAGCAGAAGCAGCGCAATGGATCGTCGACAATGGCCTCTTAGTGGGCCAGAGATATATTGGAAGCGTGGAACACTGTGAGATCAAACGGAAGAGATGCTTCCGTTGTCAACGATTCGGCCATCTAGCGTGGTCATGTAAGGAAACACCACGATGCGGACACTGTGCCGGCCAGCACGAACGCCGACACTGTCCGCCTGAAGTGAGAGCACGATGCCTCGACTGCAGTGGAGAACATCCAACTGGCGACCGACAGTGTCCGACCCCAGCGAACTCGAACCCCTCACAATGTTAAGGACGAACCTACGAGTACTACAATTGAACATCATGAAATCGAGGGCCGGTATGGAGGCCCTTATCAACGACCATGAGAGTCAGAACCTGGATGTGTTGCTTATTCAGGAACCATCGATCACTGCATACCGAACACATGTCAACCACAGTGCCTGGCGACTATACCGTCCGACGATCGAAAACGATGCAATTCGACTTCGCAGTTTGATTTACGTCAGCAAAAGGATCTCTACTTCTTCCCATCGCCAGGTGCATTGCGACCACTCGGACGTAACGGCAATCAAAGTATGGACGCCCGAGTCCCAGATCCTTCTCTTTTCAATATACATTCCACCAGTGCTTCTCCACACCCCTGAAGAAACTTCGGCAGAACCAGTGCTACGGGCTATTCGAGACACTATCGAAACAGTCTGCGACGGTGACGGAAGGCCGACGAGCATTGTCGTGTCTGGCGATTTCAATCGTCACCATCCCACGTGGAGCGGCAATAACATCTATCCACGGTTCGCGGAACACGCAACCGAGTTAATCGACTTCCTCCAAGCGCACAACCTCCAGGGCTGTCTCCCTCGAGGCACACCGACGTTCTGGTCTCTTAACCAACCGGGGAAGACGTCCACCATTGACCAGACGGTAACAGACAACCCTAATCGACTGATTAAGTGTAATCTGTACCATGAGAACTACGGCTCAGATCACCGTGCCACATACAGCGAATGGGACCTTCAGGCAAAGCGCCACGTCACCACGAAGCCTAGAAGAGCATACGACCGGGCTGACTGGGACAAAATCGGGGAGGAAGTGCGACTCCAGACGGAGTCATGGCCTGCCCCGACGACGACGACGACACTAGACGAAATTGTGGGGAAGCTCACGGAGGCGACCTCGGTAGCGATTGGGAAGCATACTCCCCTTCTACGGCCAACCCCATACTCAAAACGATGGTTCACACCTGATCTGAAAGAGCAGCAAACTGAACTGAATCGCACCCGACGGAAATGGCAGGAGAGTTGTGCAGAGCTCGGTCGGGATGATGCGCGCTCGACTGCCCTATTCCAGACGATGCTACAGAAACGTCGTGCATGGAACCGGACAATCGAAAACGCCAAAACAGCGCACTGGAAGCAATTTCTGGACCAAGCAGGAGAAGGACACCTATGGAAGGCCGCAACGTACATGAAGCCGCGGGATTCCTGGAGTGGCATTCCCTCGTTGAAGGTCGGGGCCAACGAACTCACCAGCAATGAAGACAAAGCCGGTGCCCTCATGGACGCGTTCTTCCCCAGGATGGATGACGCCCAGGAGGAGCTTCTAGCCACAACCCAGGAGGAGATCCCTTGGAAGCCCATCACTGAGCTTGAAATCTCTCGGGCACTCAAAGCTGCCAAGGGATCCACCGCACCGGGTGAAGACGGCCTGCCCACCCTTGTCTGGAAACATTTATGGAAGTATCTCGGCAAACTCATCACCCGTCTCTTCACAGCATCTGTTGACTTGGGACATCACCCAACGCAGTGGAGACGTGCCAAGATTGTGGTACTACGGAAGCCTGGAAAGCCAGACTACTCAGTTCCAGGAGCATACCGTCCAATATCATTGCTTAACACACTAGGCAAGCTATTGGAAGCGGTGATGGCGCGGCGCCTGTCGTACTACGCCGAAAAACACGGTCTACTGCCGAACACGCAGTTCGGGGGAAGACCAGGACGAACCACCGAACAAGCCCTATTGGTGCTAGCTAACGCGATCGACCGGGCATGGTGCCAGCAAAAGGTAGTCACGCTTGTGGCTTTCGACCTAAAAGGGGCATTTAACGGAGTCAACAAGAAGAGCCTCAATCACCGCCTACAAACCAAGGGGATACCAGCTATAGCTAGAAAGTGGATCGCTAGCTTCATGAGCGACCGCTTCGCCAACATTGGATTCGACGACTTTGAGACCGAGGTGGCCCCTCTGGGTAGTGCTGGGCTAGCGCAGGGTTCACCCCTCTCGCCCATCCTATTTGCCTTCTTCAACTCTAATTTGGTGGACCAGGCCGTCGACTTCCACGGCGGTGCGTCAGCCTACATTGATGACTACTTCCGATGGCGCGTTGGCCGATCAGCAGAAGCGAACCTACAAAAAATCCAGTCGGAAGATATCCCCCGCATCGAAGCATGGGCCAGGAAAACCGGATCCCACTTCGCGGCTGAGAAAACCGAACTCATCCACCTTACTAGGAAGAAACGCGAGCAAGGCAAAGGCCAGATAATCATGAACGGCAAGGTGATTGAACCGTCTACCACTACGAAGCTCCTAGGCGTGATCTTCGACCAGGAATTGCGCTGGAAAGAGCATGTGCAGCAGACAATCAAAAGAGCGACGAAAGTGAACATTGCGCTCGGCGGACTCAGACAGCTCCGCCCGGAGCAAATGCGGCAGCTCTACCATGCGTGTATTACACCAGTAGTAGACTATGCGTCAACCGTGTGGCACAACCCTCTGAAAGACAAAACACATCTGCGACTACTGGGCACCATCCAACGAAGTACGCTTATCCGCATCCTCTCCGCGTTTAGAACTGTGGCTACCTCTACTTTAGAGGTAGAAGCACACGTACTGCCAACGCACCTACGTCTCCGACACCGTGCACAGAGTACTATCACGAGGCTGCATACCCTCCCGCACGATCATCCTATATGGTCCGCGCTACTACGAGCCCAGAGGCGTAGAGACAATATCGGGTCATATTCACGGTTCCCGCTAGCTGAAGCCTTAAAGACCATGGACCTTGAAAGGCTAGATAGGCTGGAAACAATTGACCCAAGACCGCTGCCACCATGGAGACCGGAGGCTTTCACGGAAGTTCAAATTGAGCCGGATCGGGAGATAGCAATGGAGAGGGCCGAGGCCATATGGTCCACCTCGGATATTGTCGTCTACTCGGATGCATCCGGACGTCATGACCACCTGGGTGCTGCAGTGGTCACACTTGATATGGACCAACAAATTGCCGAGTCACAACAGATACAAGTCGGACCGATGGACCAATGGTCCGTCCATGTTGCCGAGCTGATCGGAATCTTCTATGCCATCAGCTTTGTCTACAAACTAGGGCATCAAACCCAGAGATCAACGGACACGCCACGAAGATCCGCAACGATTTTATGCGACAGCATGTCTGCGCTGCAAGCGATCCGGAACCCTGGTAACAAATCGGGACAAAGAATTATTCACGCCATCCTACAGGCAGCCTCAGAAATCCAAGCACATGGAGTCATTCTCCGCCTACAATGGGTGCCGGGGCACTGTGGTGATCCCGGGAACGACGCAGCGGATCGACTTGCGAAGGACGCAGCCTACCCGGGAAAAACACACCCATTTTGTTCCCTATTTTCTAGGGAGAAAGCGTTCATTCGCAACCGTATCCGTACACAATGGAAACAGCAATGGGAGACGTCCGAGAAAGGAAGCCACCTTCGCAGAATCGACAACACGCTGCCCTCTCCCTACACAAGACGGTTATACGGCTCCCTGCCAAGGAACCGAGCCTACCTGCTGACACAACTCCGAACGGGACATTCGTGGCTATCAACATATCGCAAGCTCCGAGGTCACGCCGAAGACGACAAGTGTGTATGCGGTGCACAAGAAACCGTGGTCCACGTGCTCGTAGACTGCCCGCGGCTGAGAACCTTGCGACAGGAACTACGGAGAAAGGTTGGCGACGCATTCAATAGCGTTTCGATTCTTCTGGGAGGTCATGATGAAGGTAAGGTAGGTAAGGAGAACACTGCCACGCGAACCAGCACAGTGGAGGCGGTACTGGACTTTGCGGAGGCATCAGAACGGTTTCGAAGTCGCGCGCCATGAGGGCAGCCTAACAGCGAAAACGGCAACAGGCCACGGCAGGCCTTGACGAGGCTCTAAGTTCGTTTTCAGGTAGTGGAACGCTCTACATGTACATATAAGGATACATATAGTTGCGGTAGCCTGCATGTCGCTCAGCGATGGGTCGGGGTAAATGATCACACACACACACACACACACACACACTGTAAATGGGCTTCCCTGGAATGGAAATGGGAATCAAAAAATGAGATCTTGTCTACGTCGAAAAAGATGGTTCAGTACAGATGCCTCGACTAGTTATTGAGGAATTTTGCGACATTAATTATCGTTAAGTCACTTTGCGCTTGTTACGATCGCTTACTGAGATTCTTTCTGGAACTCTCTTTCGAAACACGCTATACAGGCGCAAAATAACTTCCATATTAACGTGGTAATCAATTTTAGCAGCAACAAAAACACCCATGGATTTCCAGAGTTTAGCGTACCTTAGCACTGTGGCTAGAGAAACAAAGAGAGCAGGCGGTGACCCCAATTTCCGGAAGCATTGTACCAATATTATGTACTCATGGCGACCTTAAGCTGATGAAACTGCTCTTGGTACTGTACTGTGAGCCAGGATAAAATTTCTGGGCTCTTCCCGCAAGAGCGTCAGAACAAATAAGGAGCTATATGACGACCGATAGCCGTTGATATAACTGCCTTTGGTTTTAGTTCATAGATCTGCTACTATATGCCTTACATCTCTCTATGGACTAGATTAGCACCGTATTGAAAGCTTCCATTATTACTTATTACTAAGAGCAAAATTGGGTTGCAGATGCTGATATTGAACCCTGTGACGTTCCGGTGACCGTGGTATCGAAATTATAGAGAGTTTCATCAATAATTTCCCATGATATCCTTGTATATCCGTCAGTGCATGCTTGATTTTCCATCAATTCATCCAGTACTGAGTAACTGAAATCAAGACCTGCAGCCTCTTCGGGATCCCAGACAGTAAGGGACCCTTGGGCACAACGCGCACAGCCATCACCAATAAAAAGAGGCTGGGAAGACCGCTGTCCATTGGCCGAGACAACTACTCGCTTTCCGCAGTATTTGGCTGGATCGTTCACAAGCTGGGTGTGGTTCATTGCAACAACGTAGTTGGAGTCAATATTATCCAATGATAATCCTGTGACGAAGCTACACTCTACATCACCGAGATTCTGATTGGAGAAGCTGGTACCACAAACGTCTACGTGGTCAATATCGTAGTAGTAGGTTCCAAAACCTGTCCCGTTGAAGATAACATCATGTGAAAGCGACCCGACAGCGGAAAGTATTGTTGTTGCAATATGAGGATTCTTCATTTTTGGTGAAGAAATCCAGGAGAATAGGTAGTTCTCAGTCTCTATGGAGATGGAATATACGAGTAGAACTGGAGATATTATAAGATGAGATTGATAAAATGATCCATTGAATCAAACCATAAAGTGTGGCAAGAGAATACACTAGCATTGACTTTTATTGCCGCATAATGTGATCCTTTGGACTTTATAAGGAAAGGAAATATACCTTGGTCATGTAGATCTGACAGCGGCATCAGGTGTCTTTTTTTGTTAGAATATTATCTAATAATGAGGGCTATCGAAAGATGCCGGGATCTCAGAAACCATCTCTTGCAGAGAAGGAAGTCGCGGCTGTGAAAAAGGGTGTCATGTCTATTTATTCACCCTTCTGTTAGATTCGCTTATCAACGTTGCGTTTGTTATTTGGTCTGTTGCATTTGGAGAACGGGGAACCAAGTTTCTTGGGCTTCGGCGGTACCCAAAGCTGCGACGGGGAATAGTCAGCGGAGAGCATACGAATAATTGGTAAGCCCTGGGTCCGACTAGATCTCAAGCTTCTGATTTAGAAGATTATATTTTTTGACGCACGGCTCAAAGTGCAATGCTGCAGATAGCTGAACGTGAAACTATAAACGGGGTTCTAGAGCTTACACCAAAGAGCAGATGGTCATCTAGTACAGTATGATTTTGAAAATGTTTGGAATTTTCGTGCAAATTATGTCAAACTATTCTGTATTCGTCACCTTTGCACGGCACTATGTTGATGAAGTCATTATTTGAGTTCAGTAGCAATACCATTGAGAGGGGATAATACGACAAA